GTTTCTCATAATTATATCACATAAATGTTAAACCTAAGATCCAATCTAACTTTGTTATTTTTTAAATACACTACCTAACAGAATACTCCATTCTACTGAATGTACAGCAATGCATGCAACCATATGACCTGTCTTGTAATACTCATTTGTGCTTTATTGTTATCTGTTTACAATAATGTTTTATCACTGATTACATCATTGCTTAGATAATCTTAAGTTAATTTTAAGCCTGCCCATAATGCTATGCATACAAGTGGCTTTGGCATACTGCTCTTACCTGTATTTTCTTGTACCTCTGTATGTTCAAATTATTAAATAATAAATAAATAAATAAATAAATAAATAAATAAATAAATACTCTGGGGTGTCAGGAACAGATTAATTTGATTTCCATTATTTCTTATGGGGAAAATTAATTCGCCTAACGATAATTTCGCCTATCATTGAGCTCTCAGGAACGGATTAATGTCGTTAGGCGAGGGTCCACTGTATTTGAAAATATTTGTATACGTGTATACATACAGTATTTTTTCATATACAGTGGACCCTCGACCAACGATATTAATCCGTTCCTGAGAGCTCATCGTTAATCAAAATTATCGTTAGTCAAGTTAATTTTCGCCATAAGAAACAATGGAAATCAAATTAATCCGTGCAAGACACCCAAAAGAATTGAAAAAAAAATTTTTTACATGAAATATTAATTTTAATACACACAAACTGAAGAAGACATATACAATTACATGACACTTACCTTTACTGAAGATCTGGTGATGATTGATGGGATGGAAGGAGGGGAGTGTGTTGATGGTGTTAGTGTTTAGAAGGGGAATCCTCTTCCATTAGGACTTGAGGTGTCAAGTCCTTTTCCGGGGTTACTTCCCTTCTTCTTCTAATGCCACTAGGACCAGCTTGAGAGTCACTGGACCTCTGTCGCACAACATATCTGTCCATAGAGGCCTGTACCTCCCGTTCCTTTATGACATTCCTAAAGTGTTTCACAACATTGTCAGTGTCACAATTAAACACTTGTTCAGGTTTCAATTCTTCACTGTCTATGTACTCCTTGAATTCCTGCACATATTTTTCAGCTGCTTTTTGGTCTGAACTGGCAGCCACACTATGCCTTATCACACTATGTATGCCACTACGATTCTTAAATCTCTCAAGCCAACCTCTGCTGGCCTTAAATTCACTCACATCACCACTAGTTGCAGGCATTTTTCTAATTAAATCGTCATGCAACTTCCTAGCCTTTTCACATATGATCGCTTGAGAGATGCTGTCTCCTGCTATCTGTTTTTCGTTTATCCACACCAATAACAGTCTCTCAACATCTTCTATCACTTGCGATCTCAGTTTCAAAAACATAGTTGCACCTTTGGCAAGAACAGCTTCCTTGATTGCCGTTTTCTTGGCCACAATAGTAGCGATGGTTGATTGGGGTTTTGTGTACAACCTGGCCAGGTCAGAGACACGCACTCCACTTTCATGCTTAGCTATGATCTCTTTCTTCATATCCATAGTAATTCTCACCCTTTTTGCTGTAGGGTTGGCACTAGAAGCTTTCTTGGGGCCCATGGTGACTTATTTTGCAGGTGCAATCACTAAAAACGCTGGCTGTGATAATATGAAATGTTCCGATTGTATGTTTGGATGGGACCACGGTGGTTGGTTGGCTTGTAAACACTGGCCACAAGTGGACGCGTCTCGAACAGAACAAATCGTGTTGGTCGAGTTTTTTAGCGCTAGTCGAGGCAAAATTGTTACGTTAAAATGTTAGACGATGCCATCGTTGGTCGAGGGTCCACTGTGCAGTATTTTAGACAATATTGTTAGGCTAGTGACTGGCTTACAGTTGTTAACCCTTAACCCTTTCACTGTTGAGACCCTGATTCTAAGCTCGCTGTCAGTGTCGAAAAATATTTGAAAAAAAAAAAATATATTTTTTCTTACCAAAATCTTAAGAATATTTTTCTGAGTATTTTAAAAGAATTTTTTTTTTTTACGATCAGTATTTACCAAGATATAGAGCATGAAGGCGACAGAAAGTGAACCGCTTATGGCAACATTAGTGACTGCCTCTCACTTGGTAATATTATTTTTACTTTTATTCTAATTTTTTCTTTTATTTTTTAATTTTTTATTTTTCAAGTAACTTTTGTTGCCTGTGAGACCAATATAGTGCATAATGTATATACCGTGGTACACAGAGTTTCGAACTTTCTTCATTCCAGAAGGCTGTTAGAGTGCCGTTACCGAACAAATTTGTTCCCATAAGGAATAATGTAAATTAGATTAGTTCGTTTCAGACCCCCAAAAATACACTTACAAAAGCACTTACAATAATACACTTACATAACTGGTCGAGTTGGGAGCAATTCGAAACTCAGGGTACCACTGTATATCCACTCGTATGCAACACAATAGCCGCACAAACATTGTTATTATACTGTTAACAAAACAATGTTTACACAAACCCAAACTGCCTTCCCCACACTCACACTGTCATCCCCACCACACCCACACTGCCTTCCTCACCACCCAAACTGTCTTCCCCACCACCCATGCTGGAAATAAGTCACTTTGGCTTTTCTGGGTTATCCTAGGTTCTCTACACATGCTGTTATGTATGATAATCTATGTAACTGTATTCGTGTATACCTGAATATACTCACTTACACACCGTCTTCCCAACCACCCACACCATCTTCCCCACCATCCAAGCTGCCTTCCCTACCACCTAAGCTGCCTTCCGCAACATCCAAGCTGCCTTCCGCAACACCCAAGCTGCCTTTCACAACACCCAAGCTGCCTTCTGCAGCACCCAAGCTGCCTTCCGCAACACCCAAGCTGCCTTCTGCAACACTCAAGCTGCCTTCCGCAACACCCAAGCTGCCTTCACTTTTCACCATCTGTATCTGGTATCCTGGGCATTGCTTTCAATCAAAAACTCCTCAAAACCATGAAATTCATCTTCACTGACACTTCCATCCATGTTAGAACTATCACTTGGGAAGAGATGAGTTCCAAATTTGCTAGGGAGTGAGATATTTCTTAGTACAAGGCATGATAAACAAGGACTACTGAAATGGCATTCCCACAATGCAATGCAGGTGCCCCAATTTTTTTTTATACTGAGCACACTGAGCACGTAGACCCATTCTTTCACATGTAGGTCTACCAGCTTTCTCCCGCTAGAATTTTGGCATATTAATACGTCACCAACACTGACTCGTAAGACGTATCTATACGGCACCAACAATGAAAGGGTTAAACTCCCACACTCATTGATCAAAGGGTGTGCATACACTGCCACATACACATAGATCAATGTTTAAATTCTAGCTCCCTCAATATGGCTGTGATAGAGAATGTTAGCTCTACAAGAGAAAGTAGGTCTGCATTGTTGGTGTGTGCACCAATCAAAAAATTCCTCTGCCACACTGGGCACTGTGAGAACAGTTTGTTTCAAGGTACCATAAAAACATCTCATTTTTGACATCCTTTCACTCCATGGACTATTGGCCATTTGCTATGTACCCCATTTGATTCTAATACTGAAGCTAGTGATGAGGACTTGGAGTAATGAATATGGAGATAAAGTGCTGCTGCGACTACAGATAATCCATTAAGCAAGGAAAATCTTGATGAGCTTTGAAGCACAACACACCACAATTTCCTTCCACCAAGAAGAAATATGCCCAAAAGATGTGTTATGTATGTTGTAACACCACCAGAAAAACAAGGAAATACAAGGACACACAATTCATGAGCAAACATTGCAAAACTCTCTGCTTTGAAGAGTTTCATGAACTCAAGCAACTGTAGTTGGTATAGTGAACAATGAGAGTATAGTATGTGTATAATGAGTATACAGGGTATAGTGTATGTGAGGAAAGTATAAATCTGTCAGTAAAAATTTTGCTGAAATAAGAAATAATTAGTTACTGAACACTAAATATCCTGTAAATATGGTCTGAAAATATATAAACTAATCACACATGAATGTTTTGAAAAAAAAAAAAGACTAAAAACATAACTGAAATGTAGTTGCAAGTGTGTATGATGCAAACATGTTACTCTATGAAGCTCACTTCTATAAACTTCAAATAACTATTTCTTGCTAGGTTTCAACCTGATTTTCATTTTTTTTTTTTTTTAAATATTTTGGCACTTATTAAAACTTTTTTTTACTGTGTTAATAATGATTATTCCTAATTTGAGTGGGGCAGTTATGCTTATCCAACTCAGATCCTGTGTAGAAGCAAACATATCATTCTGGTTAGTTTTGTTATTGCTGGCATTATGAAGCAGTATTACATGCAGTGTAGGAAGCTTATATCTTGGGTATTAAAGTCACCTGCAATTATAAGTAATTTTGTGAAGTTTGTTACTTACAATAAAACTGGCAAGAATATCATTGAAATTTGATATGTTACTGTTTAGAGTTTTATATACAGTTTCAATTGTAATTGTTTGCTTGAAGTTATTATTGGCAAAATAGGCAAACGCATATTACTATAGGCATCTTTAGTGTTTATAATGTTGCCACATTGAATTTGATTAGAGTATAGTAAATTGTAATACCTTCCCCTTCCTTATAAAGTCTACACTTGTGAACACCTGTGTATCCAGGTATACTAAATATGTTTAATATATTGTTATCTGGTTCTAGCCAAGTATCTCTTAATATTATGAGAGTGATATTATCACAGTGCTTGCTTGGAGCTCTAATATTTTGGTTGAACAGTTATATTCTTATTATTGCAAAGGACATCTTTGGCATGGTTGGCCATATAGTAACTACGCTTTTGGTTAGCAGAATAGTGGTTCGTTATACAACAACAACAATAAAACAACAATAATAATGCATATTTTTCAACTTTGCAATGATTGCTCCATACAGTAATTTCAGAAAACTTCTAAATTCAAATGTTACTGCACAGTAAACAATCTACTCAAAACACAATGTACTGTATGTACATAGTTTAACTTACCACCTCAGCATTCCATATGTTCTGTATGCAGATGGTCCAACAGTGATACCTGTTATGTGGAAGTGGGTCACTACCTTGCACAAAAATCATGGGATGCAAGTCTCCTCTGAAAATACATTTCAAAACCACTTTAATAATACTTTTTAAAACAGTCTTGTATATATGGTTAGAGTAGGTTAGGTTAGGTTTTTAGGTAAGGATAGATTAGATTAGGTTAGGTTAGGTTTGGTTAGGCTACATTAGATTAGGTTAGGTTAGAAGTTTATAAAAATGAAATGGTTAGTGCCTAATATAAATATACAGTACTGCACAATTTGTGAAATAAATTACCACTCCATCATTAGCCTTGGTAACTTACTGATAAGTTCCACCAAATGTTGATATCTCCTGGAAGCTGTCTATGCGTATTAAATTGAGATAGCTGTGTGCTGGTGATGGGTTCCATGTCCATGCCAATTTCTCCTCCGTCTCAAACATTACTGACTAAAAATGTAAATGTGCAGAAATTATTTTTATTTTTAACATTTTAAAATACAGATGACAAATACATACAGGAAGTAAGTTTGTATTAGGCTTCATATATAATTTTAAACTTTTACATATACAGTATAGCCTATTATACCACAATTTTATATGATTACAGCCTCTCCTCACTTAGTGATGTATGTACAGTACTTGTTTACCAACAATTCGGACTTATGATGGGCTCTCTGACCAGTAATGTATATTAGAGCTGATTTCCTCTATTCTCTTATTACAATATACAGTACACTACTGTATAAAAATTTAAAAATATACCAGAAATGGTGCAAAAGTGACATTAAAACAATCTCAAAGATGGATGACACAAACCAACTGCCATTATAGTATGCTCCTCACTAAGCGACAAATTCGTTTACCGACATTGGTTGTTACCACAGAACTTTCATAAAGGTGGAGAAGGGGGAGGAGTGTTTTATATGAATGAATGATATGATGAAGTGTGTAAGAGCAACGATTATCTGATGATGGAGGAGAGAGGATGGAGGATGGATGAGAGGGATGGAGGAGATGTTTGGATGGAGATGTGATGGAGGTGAGGGGATGTGAGGTAGATGATGGATGAGAGGGGATGATGATGATGATGATGATGAAAAAAATCTTCAATTTAACCCTTTTAGGGTCCGTGCCGTAGATCTACGGCTATACGTTGAGGGTCCAAACCATAGGTCTATGCCAAAATTCTAGCGGCATCAAATTTAGTGCGAGAAGGCTGGTAGGCCTACATCTGAGAGAGAGGGTCTGCCTGGTGTGTGTGCGCCGTAAACAAAAATTCTAGGCGCCCACATGGCATTGTGGGAATGCTGCCTCAGTTACCTTTGTTCACCATGCCTCATCACAAGGCAGCTCTCACTCCAAGGTGAAATGGGACTCTCCTCTTCGTAACTGATAGTTCTGACTCTGATGGAAGTGGAAATGAAAAAGAATTCTATGGCATTGATCAATTAGTGACCAAAAGGAATGACCAGGATATCGAAAATAGTGCAGAAAATCCTGACGATCCTCAACCTTCTACCTCTGGTGTGGGCACGTCTCAGTCATGTTCAGTTGTTCCTCGTCGCAAGAGAAAACTAATATTTTCGCGTGGCCAGGCCTTAGACTTAAGTAATGATGTTGATAGTAATGTGGACTGTGATTTTATTGCTCTTGACGATCATTCGAGTAGTGATAGTGAGGAATCATATTCGCCAGTGAAGCGCCAGTACATACGCCGCCGCATGCACTCGGGTAGTGTTCCCTATGCAGTGCCCAGGGGACGGAGTACATCCCATGGCCCTACACCAGGAATAGACAGTGAAAGTGAGGATGATGTGACTACACTTGGCATGGATAGCCCACAGGCATCAGTAGGTGGTGGTATTGGTGGTGATAGTGGTAGAGGTGATGGTAGTGCCATGGCCATGCATGACTCACCAGCCCAGGCTGGGACCCATGCCACTGACTCCTCAGCTCAAGGACAAAGCGGAGCATCAGCTGCCACCCCACCACAACCACAACTACCACCACAACCAGCTTATGATGTTCAGTATCCACCAGCAAACCATATCTGGGATTGGCAGCAAAATCCCAATTTTGTTCCCAAGCCCCACCAGTTTGATGACTCGCAAAGTGGAATCCTACCAACTTGTTCCCTTGAAAACACTGCAAATGAACTGGAATTCTTTGAACTCTTCTTTGACCAGCCCTTGATGGAAACTATTGTCATGGAAAATAACAAGTGTTTTGAGTACACCATGGCAAATATGATCATATCACCACAGTCAAGACTACACCGGTGGAGAGAGACAACTGTGGCGGAAATGTATTTGCTTTTTGCAACAATAATGCTTATGCCTTATGTCTATAAGCATAATATAAAATCATACTGGTCCATAGATCGGCTAATTTGTACCCCGGCCGTCAGTGAAATCATCCCAGTGAACAGGTTTATCTTACTGTTACATATGTTGCACTTCTCTGACAAAACCAGGCCTGCAGAAGTGACAGGTTATACAAGATTAGAAATGTTTTTATGTATCTGAAACAAAAGTTCAACATGTACTTCTATCCATTCAAGAATCTTGTAATTGACGAGTCTTTGATTTTGTTCAAAGGTAGACTGTCATTCAAGCAGTATATACCGAGCAAGAGGAAACGCTTTGGTATAAAACTGTTTGTACTCTGTGACTGTGACAGTGGCCTGGTATTGGATATTATTGTATACACAGGAAGTAAAACACTGAAAGATACCAGGATGTTATTGGGTATCTCAGGTGAAGTAGTGAGAAGCATGATGGCACCTTATCTTGGTAAGGGGCATACATTTATATACTGATAACTGGTACACAAGCCATTTACTCAGTGATTTCTTGCGAGTGAACATGACAGATGTACTCACCTAATTGTGGTTGCAGGGGCCGAGACTCAGCTCCTGGCCCCACCAGATGTATGTGGCACAGTGTGTTCTAATTGTAAACATATGCCCAGGTTCAACGCAGGCACTCATGCTGGTGAGGTGCAGGTGTTTACTGCCAATGACATCATGGCGTTACGGTGTCATGACAAATGAGATGTCACATTGTTAACAACCATTCACCCTAACAAAATGCAAGACAGTGGCAAAGTTGATAGAGTGACTAATAAACATATTTGAAAACCAATGACAGTGATTGATTATACACAAAATATGCATTTGGTTGACAAATGTGACATGCAGATAGGTTTTGTTGATTGTGTTCAGAAGTTACAAGTGGTACATGAAACTTTTCTTCCATCTCATGGACATTTCAATGCTTAATGCATATAGTAATATGTACCAAATGAAGACCGGCAACAGACCACCGTATGGTGAATTCTGTTTGTCTGTTGTCAGACAACTCATAATGAAGTACCAGGTAACAACACCTGCTATACAAAACCGTCCTCGAACTCCTCAGGAAATACCCAAGCATTTGAGGAGGGAAGGTGATCATTTCATAATACAGCTTCCTGCAACTAAGAAGAATTCCCAAAGAAGAGATGTGTTGTCTGTGCACAAAACGAGACAAAAAAGGCTTTATGTGTGAAGAATGTAAGGTACCTCTGTGCATGGTACCTTGTTTCAAGGAATTCCACAAGCTGCAGCAGTTCTAGAAACATGTCCAGTGATTGTACATATGTAAATATATAATAGAACATGAGTATTATACAACATTTGTGCATGTTTATGTAGGTAAACAATAGTGGTAAAAAATTATAATACAGAGGTAAAAAAATACAGATAAGAGCAGTATGCCAAAGCCACTTATACTATGCATAGCATTACGGGCTGGCTTAAAATAACTTTAATAAGGTTATTGTGTTCAATACAGTGAGTGTATATATATACATTATATACAGTAGTGGTCTTACAGGCCACAAATGTTACTAGAAAAAGAAAAAAATTAGAAAAGAAATGAAAAAAGTATAAAAAATGTAAAATAAAGAAATGCAATTTTGTGGAAATCGCTGATGTTGCTGCCACCCGGTCATTTTGGGCCAACTTCCCACCTCTATATCTCGGTAAGTACTGATCAGAATTTTTTTTTGTTTTATTACCTTCACAAAAATATAATCTTTAATTCTGAAAGAAAAAATATTTTTTTTTTTTTTCAAAATTTCTTTGACACTAGGTCACCCCTTCAGATTTTCCCCGGGACCCTGAAAGAGTTAATGGACTATTGAGGGAGAGGAGGGAGTGGGTAGCTGGTAATGGCAATTATGGTGCAACAGAGGCAAAATGCTTTGAAGTGACTGTAACAATAATAAGCAAGTTTTGCAGCCAACATCACAGATTTCTGAAGCCCATAAATGTAAGAGCTTATATCAATAATGGCAACAACTAACCCCCCCCCCCCCCCCACCAATGACTCTATCACCAAGTCCCAGTATCACTGACTTTTTTTGCAAAATTTCTTAAAATCTCTCCCAAACTTATTTTATATTTATGAATTAAGCATCTTGTGCCAATTCAGAAAAATTGGGCACCCAGCCAGACAAATTTGGGTTGCTCTGATAAAGTCAGATCTAAGGAAAGAAACTAAGGAGAAGAGGGGTCATTACATACATTTTTCCAGAGACAGAAGTCTGTTAACATTTTACATTATAAAATTAATAATAATGTTATATAGTGCATGGAAATAATAGTTATTTGTTGTGAATTTATTTTTATTTAGGTGATAATAGGTAAAATAAGAATTTTATTTATGCAAATTCTTTTTTTATTAAGTGGGTTGTACAGTTTACGTGCATGGAGAGGGTTTCAAGAGTCAACACCCCACCGTTCCAGTTCAAGACCAGGCCTCATGGTGGATCAGGATCTGATCAACCAGACTGTTACTGCTGGCTGCACGTAAACCGACATATGAACTACAGCCCAGCTAATCAGGTACTGACTTTAGGTGCCTGTCCAGTGCCTTCTTGAAGACAGCCAGAGGTCTATTGGAAATCCTCCTTATGTATGCTGGGAGGGAGTTGAACAGTCCCAAGAGACGACACTTACTGTGTTGTCTTTTAGTGTACTTGTGGAGACAGTCATATTTTAAACAAATAGTTTAAACATAATCCAACCCAATCCAACTAAATCTAACCTAACATAGACCAGCTGTAAAACTGTCTGTTAAACTGGGTAACATTTGGTTAGGTTATATGAAAAAAAAAATTCCTATAGGCATTAAATATTTATTTTTTCCTTGCACAGCACTACTTAATCCTGGAGAAATTACATAAAAAGTACATACTGACCAAAAATGGTAGAGAGATATGTATTCAGAGGTTGATAATGAACTTGTGAATAGAGCACTCAACTATGCTGTGAACATGCTGGTTGGTTGCTGGTAAAGGGAGGGTAAAATGAGAATTATGATCATATTTGGAATTCAATTCTCTATTTTTAGACTAATTACATTTATTTTTATTATATGGCTATTTGTTGATTATCTGATGTTCATAATTTATTGGTAAAGATTATTATTATAATCAAAAAGAAGCGCTAAGCCACAAGGGCTATACAGCTATTGGTAAAGATAAGTAAACATATGTGAATTATTCTCAATTTTATAGCTATTGAATAGAAATTATGGTTGAATTTTGGATTTTACTTTTATTTTCCTCAGTTGTCTCTTAATTATTTTATAGACTGTTGGCTGTATATCCCTAGTGTTAAGTAGCTACCGAGGTTGAAGCTGACTACTCTGATAAGGATCAAAGGACTCCTATGAAAATAAACCACAGCAGCTTAGAGTATGTATTAAGTTTATTTACTTACAATTTTGCACAATTTCTGGATGATTACAACCATCTTATATAGTTTCTTCAAACAGCAATGACTGCATCTGGATAAACCTCATTAGTTACGCTAATGCCACTGTGCAAAGCTTACATAGTAATACAATGTGTGTGCAATTTACCCTACCTAGGATAACCCAAAAAAGTCAGTGACTTATTTCTATTGGGGTTCTTGGGTTATCCTGGTTACTAACCCTCTAAGTTAATAAAGTCATCATCTAAGTATATAGGGAACATAGAAAATTTGCAAAGTTACCAGTCAGGGTTACATGTCCAAGATCAACAATCTTGCACGAGTGCAGAACATTTTTCAGGCTTCCAATAGACCCCTGACTGTCTTCAAGAAGGCACTGGACACACACTTAAAGTCAGTACCTGACCAGCCGAGCTGTGGTTCATACGTCAGTTTACGTGTGGCCAGCAGTAACAGCCTGGTTGACCAGACCTTGATCCACCACGAGGTCTGGTCTCAGACCGAGCCGCAGGGACGTTGATCCTCGATACCTCCTTCAGGTAGTAGATAAAGTAGGTATAATTTCCATTAGTAGATAAGTAAACTAGAGTGAAAGATGTAGGTAAAGTAGTTATTATTATTATTATTATAATCATGGGGGAGCGCTAAACCCATAGGATTATACAGCACACGTGGGGGAGGATAGAAGGTATTCAGGCTCAATTCAGGGAACCGGAGCACAAATCCAATTCCCAAGATCAAGATCCCAGTATGTATGTGTGTATGGGGAAAATAATTAAAACTATTAATAATTTAACTTCATAATTTAAGAAATATCACTACGTTTAACATTAATTAGGTCAAATGTAAATCATGACCATTACTGTTATCTTAATGGCGACCCTCCATATTTATTAAATTCCCATGTCAGTAAAACGCTAATTACTATAATATTCTCTGTCATATTTACACAAACGCCATGTAAAGTTATTAAGTAGTTAAGTACACTAAATTATTAAGACGTCAACATCTTCCTACAACAGCTGGTGTCTTTGTTGGGTTTATAAGGGCAACTGACAGCTTACTGTATCAAACCTTATTTCCCAGAGGGAAATTAAAATGGTTATATATTTTATTTCTTTGTATAGTATAGAGTGTGTGATTTACATGTTATAAAATATTGTTAACTACAAGATAGTAGCGTCACACAATCCTGTCAGTCACACAATCCTGTTAACTACAAAGAAAGCCACTAACATGCCTGAGCATTTCAGGCAGATTGATAATAATGCTTACACACTGGAATTCATTGCCAGAACACACTAAAGGACCCCTGCTTTCCTGCAAATTAATTTGCTGTATAGTCCTTGTGGCTTAGCGCTTCTTTTTTGATTATAATAATAATAATGCAAATTAATTTAAGGCCCAACTTAGAAATCACCTCATCACACAAAATTAACCAAACACTTTACTTAACATCGACCAGTTACTTAAAAAACTCCTAAATAATTTAAGATTTCTCAACTATTTGATCATTTATTTCAAACTTAAAATTGTTTCAATATCATTATTGTAAATTGTGCTTGATGATTGCTCAACTGTTTCATCATAACTTCAAACTTAAAATTCTTTCAACTTCATTGTTTTAAATCGTGCTAAATTGTAATACTGTATTACACTGTTATTGTCTTATTAATCTTAAGTCAGTCTTAGGTTCGCTAAAACTGCTCTGCATATAAAGGGGTTTTTGACATGTTCACCAAATTGTTACACTTCTTTGTACAAATATGAATCATGCTAAAATAAACTTGTCATTGTTCTTAAAACTAGATATAAAATATTAACATAAAGTTGGCACATTCAATGTTTCAATGGTTGTGAGAATTACAGATATTAAGAATAAGATTATATTGTTTTCCATATATTAGTTACAGTGAGAATATGGATATATAGTTCTCACATATTTAGTTGATGTTAGGATATGTTAGGGACAAAGTAGACAGAACAAGAGTCCTTTGTAAATAGAAATAGTAACTATGGAAATAAGTCACTTCTCTGACTTTTTTGGGG